CACGACCTGGCCTGCTCACAGTGCCAAAACCACTGGTAAATGGTTTACTGACCACGGTATTACTGTGCTCAATTGGCCTGCCAACTCTCCTGAACCCCATAGAGAACCTGTGGGATATTGTGAAGAGAAAGTTGAGAGACGCAAGACCCAACACGCTGGATGAGCTTAAGGCCGCTACTGAAGCATCCTGGGCCTCCATAACACCTCAGCAGTGCCACAGGCTGATTGCCTCCATGCCACGCCGCATTGAAGCAGTCATTCATGCAAAAGGATTCCCGACCAAGTATTGAGTGCATAACTGAACATGATTATTTGAAGATGGGCGTTTTTTGTATTAAAAACACTTGTCTTTCATTGGTGGGATGAACTATGCTAATTTTTTTGGGACAGGCATTTTGTGTTTTCATGAGCTGTATGCCATAATCATCAGTATTAAAACAATTAAATACCTGAAATATTTCAGTTGGTGTGCAATGAATCTGAAATATATGAAACTTTCATTTTTATCATTACATTATGGAAAATAATGACCTTTATCACAATATGCTAATTTTTTGAGAAGGACCTGTATAGCCTAACCTATTTGCCCTTGTGGATTCAGGTGCAGAGCAGAATATTATAAGCAAAAGTTTAATGGAACAAATAGAATTACCTGCAGGACCTAACTCAACCTCTCATTGTTGCTGCACTCACAGGTCAATCTATCACCTCCATAACCCAAAGGGCCAACCACCTCCATCTGGTTATTTCTGGGAACCACCATAAGAAGGGTGAGCTCTTTGTTTTTAAAGCTGCTAAACCTCAGTTTATTATAGGTTCTATTTCGTATAGGCTTCGCCCTTTAAGGCTGTCGCTTAGTGGGTTTATCCCGATATGCAAAGCATCACACTGAAAAATTTAGTCCACGCCCACCCCACCCGGTCCGTATAAATTACGTTAAGAGCGGGAAATCAGCTCCCATTTTTTCTTCAGCAAGCTAATAGCACTGTCAGAAGAACGAAGAAGGAAAGTTGTGTAGATGACCAACCTTTGTTAAGAATGCTTGGCCCGGCAGTCGACCTCCGGTCGTCCGGTGAGTTCTCCTCCCCAAGGAGAAGCTGATGAGCAGTCTTGTTTCAAGGTAAGCGCCGATGAATTTTTCTCAGTGACAGGCTGCTACACGCTGGACAATGCCATCTTGTAATTTTCCTCTTATCGCCGACCCTCGGAGCGAATCGGATGGTTCCTCCGGGACAGGCGGCACTCAGCTGCAGCCCCCCGCTGCTCATTCCCTCCTGGAGAGCGTCGTGTCGGTGGAGGGGGGCTGAGTGAATGCTCACCCCATCCCACCTCGTTTCGCATTGGCGATCACACTGCTCACGGCTGACGGCACCCTCAGGGGTTGCCCGGTGTAACCCAGGAGGTGGCTGACATGAAGGGACCTTTTTTACGTCCCACGCCTTTCCCACCAGTTCGGATGATCTGGCGGGAAGGTTGTTCCTACCAGGTTCCATTCCAGCTCACCGTCTTGATCCATATGGCCTCGTTTTCTTAACAGGATGTCCTACGAGCGAGGCCACAGACGGTTTTTTCCTAGTAGATTGGGGGGGCGGTCTCCACAGTCCGCACCCATCTCCAAAGCAGGGGTTCACCGAGCGGAACGTCCCTCAGTGCCCCCTGGAGCCAAGCCTGATGGAGGCTTCATTGGAGCAAGATGTCGAGGTGGACCAGCATCCCATGCCTCCGGTTAGTGTAACCGAGACGGTGACACCGCTCTCCAACTGAGCTCACCACCACACGGCCGCAGCGAACAACACGTTACGCTGTTGGCGTACACGTTCAGAGGCGGGAAGAGACGGTGGGCCCCTCTGACCTTCAGCTCGCTCCGCTCTTGTAGCAGCTGCTTGCTAACGATGCTGCCGGCCCCTGCAGTACACTCGGTCTACAGGGCAGCTGACGTCATCCCCAACCGGTGCTCCTCTTTTGCGGTCTGCCGCCCCGCATTGCAGCCGGAGAACGAGGTCCCAGAGGCTCTTCTGGCTCATCGCTCCACCTTCCTCTCAGGAGAGCTGCAGGAGCTTGTTGGAGGTCCTCTTTTCATCAGCGAGAGATCATTTCAAGATGCTCCACGGCTGTACAACACCTCCCCAGCTCTGCTATGCCAGCCCCTCCCGTCAGACGTCCCCGGCATCCGGAAGTTCATTTTTTTCCCGGACTTTGCTAACAGGGGGCCCTCTAGGACAACAAACAGAGCTCAAGGGAGGATAACCAGGTGTCGGTTTGCTGGAGGTGTGTTGATGACACGATGTGAAACAAACATCATTTTATGATGAAGTGTCTTTTAGCCAGGCTGTCAGCATGGATTATCTGACAAGCGGCCCCATCACACACACTCAGCAAGAATGAGCCTTTTTAAGGTTGTTTTCATTCACTGTCGGCGGTGCCAATACGCGCTCCCACGTCACGAAAGCGCGCACGCAGCTCTCAGCGCCCGCCGTTCACGTCAACGGTAACGTGAGACCAGTAACGTATCTCGCTCTCGGCAGGAGCAACATGCGTTTTTCATCGCAGTGGTGTCAAACGCGCACTCCCGCAGTGTCAGCAGTTTCACAAGCCTCACAGCGGCTCTGCTCCTTCATCTTCGAAGAAGGTTTTCTGAATTAATACTGCAGCTCGTGGAATCACTCAAAAGTTCATGTGATTCGCAGCCAAGAATGAACGTGTTTCTGCAGACCGAGCCAGTGGTAAACTCGCCCCACCGATGCCGCGCGTTGCTTCCTGACCGCACCAGTGTCAACGCGCGCTCCCGCGGCAATCCTGGCTTAAGGCGTTGCATGAATGAGGGCGCGCACACACGACTCTTCAGGGCATGTCGGCTCATATGTGCACCCGATCCCCAAACGTTTACACGAATCAGCTGCACGCAACGTGAGCACAACACAGATGAGCTGTGTCCCGCAGCAAACGCACAACGATTTGCATGCTCGGGGGCGCGCGTGTTTTCTTTCTCACTCAGCGCACACCAGCTCACATCAGCATGCATGTGAGTTTCACAGCATAAATGCGTGCCCGCTTTATAACTTACAAACAAGTGGCAATGAGCGCACGCTCCAGACGGATGGGCGAACCGTTTTCATCCGGGGATTCACGCTGCAGTACAGCTCAAACCCCAGTGTGGAGGAACTCTGTGACGTTTTCTGTCATTTCTGAACAGATCTCGTCCCCTCTCGCAGAAGTTCAGGAAATTCTGTTTTAAATGTAATTTCTAGAGTCTCAGAAGGAGAGGAAAACGCAAGGTCCCTCTTTCATCACTTCCTGGTCCCAACGAACTGGAAAGATGAGATTTATTCTAGATTTGTCAATTTTTTGAACTGTGAGAAACAACACTCCATTATGCGCCCGAGCCGCTCTAATTCTGCTTTATCTGGACACCTGCTGCTGCTGAGCAGTCGGTACAGACAGGTGGCAGCAGTGCAACTCACGTGAACCGGTTGAGTGATATCAGCTGTTTTCCGTCAGCAGACCTACGTCACACATGTCAGTTTTCACAGAGGCACACACATTTAACAAGCTGTGGGGGCGCTGTGGTTCTCCACACAGCAGCTCATTTAAATGTTTTTGGAGTGTCGCACGGGTTCTTTGAATGTGACTCAACACTGACCTTGAACTGCAGAATCATCAGGGTTTTTGATTCACACAGACAGCAGTAACTGTTGCATACATACTGGCAGGAGATGTATGCGCTCAACCCATGTGCCACATTGTGAGACAGATGCTGTGTGGGGCACACCCAATCTGCTCTCCATTGGAGTAGGGTACATCTCATGTATTCCGAACAAGGGGCGGATGTGATGTCCAAAGACGGTCCTTTGCGGCACGGGGACCTGGGACCTTCCACCCAGAGCTATGGCTCAGACACGGCAGAAATCCTGCCAGCGCCTGTGGACATGTAGCAACACAAGAGAATGCTCAATGTCAACTATAATTATCGTGGAGCCACGGGACGATCCACCGCTGGGGTGGACGTGCCTGCTCACAGCTTGTGGTCGTAATGCTTTTTCACCTTCCTCTCTCCCTCTGGTATCACGGTTTTCTGAACCGAGCTCAGGAGGAGGGACTGGCAGCTCCTCTGCCCCAAGTGCGTGAACGCATCATGGTTCCCAGGCCTACGACACTTGTTATCAGGGCGCTCGTGGAACCTGCCGTTGAGGGAGGACGCTCTCCTCCAGGCGGGAGGAATAATCAGGAGTTAATCAGATTGGGCCAGCACCTGTGGTCTGGCTGCTGTGCGGATCTTTTTGAGAGGATGGATCTCTCTCAAGATGTAGTGCGTACGATTCAGGATTCACGTGCTGCAACCACCACAGCACTGTTCACATCAAGTGGTCAGTTTTTTCAGCACTGTGGTACAGAGAAAGGCGTAGAGGCCACTTCATGTCCACTGTACGACATGCTGTCCTTTTCTGCAGCAGTCGATGGACAGAAATCTGGTGTCCAGCACGATTATTGTATGCTGCAGCCATGTTTTCTTCTTGTCTCAATGTTGTCGTAGACAGAACAACCTTTAATCATCCTCTGACGGAGCATTTTGACTCAGATTGAAATAGCAGCTGTGGGCCTGTTTGTGACACGAGAAACGCTCAGTGTCAATTATGGTTTTCTCTGAGCCCACGAGACCAACCACCGCTGGGGGTGGATGTGTTTGCCCACAGCCCATGGCCCAAAATGTTTCTGTACGCGTTTTCCTCCACCTCCTCTGATTTTACGGTTCTTGAACCGAGTTCAGGAGGAGGGATTGACAGCTCTCCTGGTGGCCCCCGAACGTGTGAGTGCACCAAGGTTCCCAGTCCTACAATACCTGCTGTCGGGGTGTCCGTGGAAACTGGTGCTGGTTTCTTGAGTTACTAACTTGTGTTTTATTTCTTGTGTTTTCTCAAGTTCAGACCTGTTTTAGTTTTACTCCATATGAAAACTCACATTCCTTTGAGTCTCCTTGTGATTACCTCTTGTGAAGGACTTACCTCCTGAGCCTCCAGAATCACCTTTGACCATTTGACACTGGATAAGTTCTCCTGGTTTCTGTACTGCCACTCTCCCACAAACCGCATTCCTGTATCACCACTCACCTGGGATCTCTCCACCCTCCTCTCCAAGCTGTTCTCTGCTTCAAGAACTAAAAAGATAAAATGTTATCATTGAAGGCCTTTTTTTCTGACAGATACCTTATGTCACTTCTTCTTTCAGACAATCTTCCTGTGTAAATACCACTCCTCTAACAATAAATGATACTTAACTTTTTATCTGTGTGTTGGACACTCTGTCAATTTACCTATTCTGGGGTTAAAACTAATCTGAATGAGAAATTGTTAATGATTTACTAGAATGTGTATATAAACTAAAATCTATATAAAAAATGTAATAATTAGTTGTATATATCAAAGACCCAGATCAAGTACTGAACTGTTCAAGGACTGGATTTAGGAAAAGTTGTCTCAAAAAGGAAACAAAACCTTTTTCAACTGTGGAGATTTCATCAATGGTCTGCTTAATCCAAATTATCATAAAATTACAGAGTATTTCATTAATATCCAAATATTACCAAACTAACTAGAATAACCTACTCTGCCAATCTTATTGACAACATATTTACAAATGACATCACACAATATAAGTGGATTAATCATCAGTGATGTCAGTGCCTGCATTTATAATATATGACCAAAGTTGGACCAAAGGAGTCAGCCTCCCACCATCACAGACATCTATACCTTCAGATGCAGGAAGAGGGTCACCTGCATCATGAAGGACCCCACTCACCCAGCACACTCACCTTTTGCCCCACGTCCTTCAGGCAGGAGGTTGAGGAGCATTAAGTGTAGAACCTCTAGACTGAAGAACAGCTTCTACCCTGAAGCTGTTAGATTCATAAATCCCAACCCAGGATAATAACAGTAAGGAAAAAAAAAATCATTGTAATGCCACTTTAATTGGTGGTATGTGACTTATCTGTGCTGCTGATTATCCATGCTGCTGATCTAATGCTGCTGATTATTTCATGCTGCTGTTCATATTCATTCCCATTTGCTCACCACTGACTCATGTTCAGGCTGCTGTTTAATATACCATATTATTTTACATTATTAGTGTTTAGCGGTTAGTTTATATCTTAGATCCTTATATACTGTTTCTTTTTACACTTTACATTTGTCTATTTTTGGGTGTAATTGGGACCCTGAGTACATAAGTTTGTTCCACCTCATGTACCACATGTGAAGTGAATGAAAATAAACTTAACTTGAACTTGAAAGTTAAGAGATTAATCAGTCTAATAATAATAATAATAATAATAATAATAATGATAATAATAATAATGATAATATAATAATAAACATTATACAGTATACAATCCAAATAAATATGGCATTTGATGAATTTTTAAGAACATTTTAGAAAGTTATATGATATAAACTGCCCTATCGAAAACGTTGGTTACGTACTGTAACCCCAGATTCTATGAGTATAGGCATAGCCCTTTCAGGCTGTCGCTGATGGGTTTTATCCCGATCAGAGCCCTGTAAAGAGAGAGTTGCGACACTCCCATAGACTCCCATAGAAAGAATGGAATGCGGAAGTCACGTGGGTCATACAGCGGCAAAAAGTTCCAAACAGCAGCGGGTTCAGCATTGAACGTAGTTCATTTTCCGTGTTTTTCCGGTAAGTTGATGCAAATGCGACACTTTTTCTCCATTGTGAAGCTTTATCTGAGTGTTCTGTACCTCAATTTATCAACATTACTTCATGTCGCCAGTTTTAGTTAATGAAACGTGTTAAATTACTACTTGTGTTTTAACTGCAGCTGCTCTGCAACATGACGGTTTAAACGGGTCTATTTCTAATTCAACGTTTTAAAATATCTATTACTGCTTACATTTTGAAAGGTGGTCTTTTTTAATTTATGGTAATTCCAGTTACTGAACTCAACTAGAAAATATTAGGCTTTTTTTCCTGAGATTCATTCAACCTTTATTTAGACAGGTAAGTCCCATTGAGCCTCGAGGACTCATTTACAAGAGAGACCTGATTTAACAAAGAATGATGACAACATGGCAACAAGATTGACGTAATTTAGTTAAAGTTATAGATCATTTGTCAAAGACTGCACCATACATTGTGACATTATCATTAAAGAAAAACGTGATTGTGAAGATGAGTCAATTTTTTTCATGTTTTCCAGGTAAACCAGAGAATGACTTCATGAACTGAATGTTGCATTAAAAGTATCACAAAGGTACAAGATCTCATTTTCTATCTTCTATTAATCAATAACAGCTTAATCAAGATGTTCGAATAAAATTACTTTAACACCATAACCTTCACAAAGTTGGTATTTACTGCAGGACTGTTCATTTACATTAGTTTTATATTATTAGTTTAGTGTTTGGTAATCATGGGTCAAGTTGAGATGAGACTCTTTCAAGACAGAACAAGAAATAAGAATTATTACAAAAATATATAATCATCAATAAACTGTAGGACAGTAACAAAAAACTTATTAAACTATCACAGGTACATTGAGATGGAGCTGGAAGTTATTCTTCATGCCAGTTGTCTTCATCTGATCTTTTCTAAAAATATGTCAATTTATTTTCCATTAACATTTTTCTTGGCAGGACTGAGTTAATTTTCTTGTCTGTGAGTTTCTTCTGTCCAGCTTATGTATTTTTTTTTTGTGTTCTAATTGTTCCCTCAGGTTTTTCATCTCTGTTCCCTGACTGCCTGTTGATCCATCCTCCTGGTCCTGTTGATCCTGGATCATCAGATCCTGACATGTCCCCGTCCTCTGAGGACACATTTTCATCTTTCCCTCATCTGACTCGCCTCATTTCTGTTTCTTCCTTATTCAGTCTCTGAAATTACAACGTCACTGTTAGAATGAAGATTATTGTTCAATAAAAAATATGACATGTCTTATTTAACACTGTTCGTACCAAAGTTTAATTTAGAACAACATGTCTGATAACTGGTCAGATCACTGGTCAGATCACTGGTCAGATCACTGGTCAGTGGAAGTTCTGCTGTTCTTCTCATCTGGTTCTGGTCCATGAACAAATGGTTGAACCTCCTTCAGTCTCACACGTCCTCACTGTGTCTCTGTGAACTGTCCTCTCTCTAAATGTGCCTGTAGAGTGACATTAGTTTATTTTCTTGAACATTTCTTTGACAGTTAAACATTTTGAGCCCTGATTGAAAATGTTTGTGCAGATTAAATTTACAGCTCTCACTTTGTGTTGTTGTGATGATGGTGATGGTGCTCCTGCTGACTTGAGATGATGTCATTAATAAACAGTATAAATAGTAGTAAAAGTACTTTATTAAAGCTTGCTTTACATTTTACATATTTTATAATAAATTGTGGCAGCACGGTGGCGCAACTGGTAGAGATGCTGCCTCTCAGCGAGCAGGTCCTTGGTTCAAACCCCGGTCCAGGGGCCTTCTGGGTGGAGTTTGCATGTTCTCTCCGTGCATGCGTGGGTTTTCTCCAGGTACTCCGGTTTCCTCCCACAGACCAAAAACATGCATGTTAGGCTGATTGGTAACTCTGAATTGTCCCTAGGTGTGAGTGGGAGAGTGAATGGTTGTTTGTCTCGTTTGTCTCTATGTGGCCCTGTGATGGACTTGCGACCTGTCCAGGGTGTACCCCACCCCTCGCACAGTGATTGCTGGACATGGGCACCAGCGACCCCCGTGACCCAAAATGGAATAAGCAGGTAAAGATAATGGATGGATGGATAATAAATTGTTTGGAATTTTATTTTTGCACAGTTAACACTTATTTTGTCATCTGTTATGATTTTAACTAGAAACAGTTTCATTTAAATTAACATTTTAATCAATGAATTACAATTTTACAATAGTTGTCAGGCTACAATCAACTCAGTTATCAGGTACTTGGTTGCCATAAAAAAACGACAAATACAACAATTATATTCAGTCTCTCTTGTAAACGAGTCCTCGTGGCTCAATGGGACGAACCTGTTTAAATAAAGGTTGAATTAATATCTTCTATAGAAATCAAGAATTCATCCAGATGATCTAAGGTAAGCTGGAGCAGATCTGAACTGCTGCATGGAGGACAAGGTGGAGCATTCTCATGCAGAGAACATCAGAAATAGCTTTATAACAGGTGTTACTCTGATCTTTTTTTAACGTGTGTAACGTTATAAAACACTGATATGGCTATATTGATCACTGTATTGCATATACATTTTTTTTCTAACAAATATGTGTTTACAGTCTCGTTTCCTTTTAAAATTTAATGATAAATGTATCAGCCACTTCTAAAAATGCTTTGATAAAATGCATAGTCTGTGAAATAATCAGTAATCGGTTAAGTAATCAGTTCGTTACTGCTCAGTAATTACTGAAAGATGTCAGGTAAAGTAAGAAAAGTCGATTTTTGTGTTATGTTGCGGCAGCAGCTGCTCAAACTGACTGACAGCAATGAGCTTTTTGGAACTATTGGGAGCTGCATGAACCACGTGACCGCGTATCGGCGAGTTCAAAGAGCGTCGCAACTCTCTCTTTACAGGGCTCTGATCCCGATGTGCGAAGCATCACACTGAAAAATTTAGTCCACGCCCACTTGCTGTGTGGGCCCCCACCTGGTCTGTATAAATTATGTTAAGTGTGGGTAATCGGCTCCCAAATAGCTTTTTCTTCAGCTATTTAGGAGCCAGTGAGGCCCGACGCTTAAAGGGCTACGCCTATACTCATAGAATCTGGGGTTACAGTACGTAACCAATGTTCTGTTTCATATAGGCTTCGCCCTTTAAGGCTGCCGCTGATGGGTTAAGGGCGAAGCAGATGTGGTCCTCAACTCACTGGGTCCATTCGAACACCGAATGAAGCAGAAGCTTGCCCAAAAAACGTCTTGTCACTCAACTCCCCATGTGCGTAATTACGCATTGTGTAATTATGTGTACCATGCACAGATGCATGTTGTGTAACTATGCAATGTGAAAGCCTGAACGCCCCAGAAAACTTTCAACGGGGAAGAAAGATGTTGAGAAGGGGGGCCATGAAACAACTGATTCATGGCTGAACAGTA